TTAACAGTAGCGAGCATTGACTGTGACGCATGTTGCCATCACATGCTACCCCGTAGTCATCATATTAGCCATCATTCTTACCATCAAACATGGATTGTCTGCTTGTTCGTCGTCGTCGACTTCTGTCCTCTAAATCTGGAGGTTGAATTGGAAGCTAATGCAAGCTTTCACTGAGCCAATAGGATCCTGGTGAATCGGCCAATCATCGGCCAAGGATCCAAGTACTTCATGGAGCTCACGAGTTCAACTAACGTACCCACGCTTAGAAACCTCGAATTGAAGGGACAAATATCGGTCGATGACAGTCCATCAGCCTACATCTCCATCCCTTTTCAATAATAATCATTTTCATCATGGTGTCTCAAGCGGCATATCCCTATCTCATCTCGAAGTAGGTCAAGCACTGTGGTAATATTACTCAAAGCAAGTTACCAAAGCCCTACTAACGCTCTGCAGGGTGGCAGATCCGCTCTTCGCCATAGTAATTGGTAGTTCAGCTGCCTTCATCCGAATAAGGCGCGAGCACCGTGAACGTTTCCCCGACCAACCCTCAGACTTCATCTCGCTACTGAGTCTGGCCCAAGGAAGAGCAAGCCGATGGTGGAATAACTGGCAGTGAAGCACGAAGACTACGAACGGCTGCCTACTTATACTCGCGCGATGTATGTGAGGATTACGACACCTATCGACAATATTACGAGGGGAAGAAACATTACCAGTACAGAGAAACGTCTGAGTATGAAGTGTTCGCTACTCTCTTTACCTTTGATACCCCAAACAGCTTGATGGCGAGGTTAGTCCATACTAAGATGGAACGGAATAGCTTGGTAGTAGAAGGTTGATGCTGTATAGGACAAACCTACTATCATAGCTACAGGCTATCTTTCATTGGTCCGCCTTGAAATTCCATACATATTCTTGGAGCTATTGTTTATAAGCATGCTTCTAGCCCCGGCCATGGGACGTCTACGAAGCTACACATCCCGGTGTGATGTAAAGAAAGCATTTTATCCGGTACGCTTGTATTATTCGAAAAATGAAAAATAAAGTACATCAGCGTAACCAGTATGCAACAACACCGTTGATTATTATCGATGCTGGTAGTGCCAAAGCGTAATGTGAGACCGAAAAGAAAATTTCCCTGGGTAAGAGGAGAAGCAGCCAAGTGTCGAATGTTGAACGAACTGGTGTCGATTAGATTTCATTATGGTGACATTTCACCATCGGTAGTCTGTCACCCCGCCCGGCCCCCAGGTACTCAAAACGCCAGCCACATCCTGCCAATAAATAGAAAGAAAGGACCAGAACCAAGTAGTAGAATAGCCGAGGAGTGAAGCTAGACCGGCTCCTTTCCCATATTAAAGCATAGTTGATCGTTTTGCAAGGGAATGAAAAATGGGAGGAACGGCCATGTTCTCCTTAGCTGTGGAGAGAATGGATTCTATAATTATCCGGACAAAGATGACATCACGTAATGACATGGAGTATGAACAAATCCCTTCCGTGAACACCGTTAAACCAAAACCAAACCGAAGAGAGCAAGTGCATTACTGCAGCTCGGAGAAGCTTCCGAATGTGTTTTCGCCGGAATATCTAAATCAGTCACACGGTCAGTGAAGTGAGCCAGATGATAAATAGGCTTCGAGGGATTACACACGTGATGTATAGGAAGCCGTCCTCGTCCTTGTGCTCCTCATAGATGCTGCTCATGAGAGCGGCAGTTGGCGGAAGGACTTCGTCGACGAAGATGAAGATGGCCTTCTCTGGAGAGAGCTTGATGCGTTTGCGGATGACGTATACGAACTGTCCGACGGTGAGGTCTGCAGGAACGAGATATTTCTTCTTGTCGATAGTGGCGATATCTGATTTCTCGACCTTCTCGCAGATAACCTGGAGGACAGAAAGTGGTTGTTAATTTATGTTGAAGCTGGAGGCTATGGCTGGAGCCTAGCAGGAGATACAAAGGAGGCTCTTACGGGGATGCGGTCTGCGTATTTCTGGCGGATGCGCTCAGCTTCTGCCTTGCGCTTCTCAAAGGGGTGCTCGTCCTTGAACTTCGATCGCATGGTTGTTGGTTTTTTGTATGTAAGTTGCTGGGTGGTAACTGTGTTGGCAAACAGAGCAGTAGGCTGGCAAGAAAGGCAGCGTAGATGCAGAAGGCAGAAGTTGATGATAGCAGGAGAGAGGAAGAGCGAGAAGAGAGCGAGAGAGAGCTGGACCCCGCGTACTTAAACGGAAGGCGGTGGGCACGGGACACTAAGGCCGAAAGAGGACTAGCGTGGTCTCCACATGACGTGACTGCCTGATCGCAGGCGGTGAGTTAGCCACGTGATGCATCTGCTGACAAAGACAGCTGAACTCTGATAGCTCATGGACAAAGCTGGCTGTTTTGGTTGGTTGGGAGGCAGAGGTCGAAGAGAAAAGGAGGAGAAGCGAAAGCGAAGACGAGAGAAAGTGACTCATGATGGGTATTATTGAGGATAGTAAAGTGCAAGGGCTGATGCCCCTTGCAGATAAGCAACGAAGTCATGGTTGCAACAAGGGGCACAGACGGGCCTACAGCCCACCGCGTTTTGCTGATAGGTGATAGGCCTGTGGTAGTTGTCGACATTGTTCGATCAACAGGGACGTCAAGGCTGCCCAAATACTTTATGCAGGCAGCCTAACAATGACTCGCATCTCCCCAACACATGATCTCCTCTTCCCCCCCTTCAACTATCGGTGTTACCTTGTCGATGCATTCCCTGAGCCTCTCTTTTGGCCGCAGGTACATAGCTCACTCAAAGTTGAGGTGAGGAAGAGTTCCAGGGTGGTGGTCCGAGCTCAGATACTTGATATCACGTGACATTGACATGGCCTGATCCGGCATACATCAAGCATATAAAGTCCTTCAAATCTTCGAGACACACACCATCCTGGAAATTCATTTGTTGTTTATGTGCTTTAATGGACTCTAAGAAAATTGGTTGCTTCAATTAATTCTGTTTGGAAAGTACTTATATTAGAATATCTTGATGGCTACTCGCATAACCTCGATCTTTCCCAGGGCCTTGCGCCGTATGCCCTTGGCTCAATGCCAGTGTCTCCAAAACACCCGGCGCCAGGCTCATAGCATAGCGAGAAGGAATGTAGGAAGCCCTAGAAAGGCCTTGCCCTTCATTGGCTTTGCGACGGCTCTGACAGCGTTGACGTTTTACTTTACGGTTCGGGCTCTTAACAACTATGGATATGAAACTCAATTGCTAACGAAACCTGTAGACTTCTACCACTCCCATCTCCCTCGAAGCTCCCACCATTGCCAAACTTGACGAAAAAACCAGGCGTGAAACAGAAATAACATCTTCTTCTCCTATGCGATTGCGCATGGAGAAACTGATAAAAGAGCAACAGAAGCGCATCATCGACGAACTCTCCAAGATAGACGGCAACGCCTTTACAATAGATGAGTGGGACCGCCCCAATGGTGGTGGAGGCATATCGTGTGTCCTGCAGGACGGGAACGTATTCGAAAAGGCTGGTGTCAACGTCTCAGTCGTATATGGAAAGTTGCCTCGCCCAGCAATTGAGAAGATGCGCGCGGACCATAAATCCTTCGTCTCCGCAGATGTTGATTCATTGGACTTCTTTGCTGCTGGACTATCGCTTGTCCTTCACCCAAAGAACCCTATGGCGCCTACAGTTCACTTGAATTATCGATTCTTTGAAACATCTGATCCCAAGGACGTTCTCAATGGGAAGACAAACTGGTGGTTTGGCGGTGGTACTGACCTGACCCCATCATACCTCTTCCCTGAGGACTGCGAGCATTTCCATAAGACCATAAAGGACGTCTGTGATACGCATGACCCGTCGTATTATCCAAAATTCAAAGCCTGGTGTGATAAATACTTTTACCTCACGCACAGAAATGAAGCTAGAGGCATTGGTGGAATATTCTTCGATGACCTTGATACAGATTTCATTCGCCAGTCTTCGCCGGCCTCAGTCTCGATATCAGACAAAGAAGCACAGGAACGTCTTTTCTCTTTCGTCACGGATGGTCTGTGTTCTTTCCTGCCTGCATATGTCCCCATTATAAAGAAGCGTAAGGATATGCCATTTACAGAACAGGAGAAGGACTGGCAGCAGCTTCGCCGTGGGCGATATGTGGAATTCAACCTTGTGCATGATCGAGGAACGAGCTTTGGATTGCGTACCCCCGGCTCTAGGATTGAGAGCATACTGATGAGCTTACCCCGAACTGCGAAATGGGTATATATGGATCCTGTTTCAGGGACAAGAACTGATGGTGTAGAGTCCGAGGATGTTGAGGGTATGGAGAGGGAGAAGGAGTTGATGGAGGTACTTAAAAATCCAAAGGAGTGGGTGTAATTTTTCTTGGTTCATCTACTTTTTGTATTTTGAGAGACACGTCATAGCTTAATTGTACGATAGTGTATAAAAAAGAAGGCAATGATAGTTCCTAGAGAGGAGATTCAGTTTGTGTAGATAAATGCTATATTCAACATCTACGATACTGTGTGGTAGAGATATAGTATTATAGTATTCTCAAAGACAAAATTCCCAAAAAAACAAATGAAACCGAAACACGCTCACGGCAATGATGGTATCTAATCCAAAACAAAGGAAATAGGAACGGTCAAGTCACCTTTGTACCCATGTAAAATCAAATAGAATATGATTGCGTTGTAATGTCTATTACTCGCTTCTCACTTCCCCTTAAAAGCAACGTCTGATCCAGCCGTGTATGCATAATGTTACAATTCTTCACATCTTGCCTGAAACATCTACCGTCCACCAGCTTTCGGAACAACCAGAGCTCTCTGTTTTCCTAGCCATGTGCGGTTTGCTTCTGCATGGTGTGCACTTGCACCGGCTGCACCACGGTGACGAGAAAGCACAATATTGCCGTTCTGTAGCCGCGACTGGAAGTCATACCAGGCGGAAGAGATAAGGGCAATTTCTCGTGCTTGTCGGTGAATTATTTGCATCAATTCAGTCTGTTGATACCCACATTAGGTATTCCTGCTTGTGTTGTTAAGTTGCAAAAGAGACAAGGGGGAAACGTACCTCTTTCTCCTTACTAGCCTTGATCTCCTCCTGATCTGCAGAGAACTGCTCGTAGTGCCTAATCCGCTCTTGCAAAGATTCGATGATATCATTTTGTTGGTTCATATGCTGTTGAGAATGTAATAAAAGGAAAACAAACCCAATTTGTTTGTTGTTTGGTTATCCGATTAGCCACAAGATCCCAACTCGGGGTTCATGAACATGCCGATGTAACATATTAGGGAGGCGCCAGGGTTAACAGCGTCATAGGCATAGATGAGACCTGCGAAGAGGAGGGACCAATGCCAGAGCTCGACGAGGCTCTTGACCTGGTTCGGGTCAACCTCTGTCTCGATTGTGGGATTTTCTTTTTTCTTCTTTCTTTCCATTTATATTTGGATTAAGAGGAGACTTCTCCAGTTCAAGGCAGAGCCCGCTCTGGGATTGGTCCCTGGGTGGTTCTTTGGAATTCGGAGTGAGGGTTGAGAAAATAGGTGTGTTGTAGGGTGCTCATTGTGTAGTGGTAAAGGGAAGAAATAGGGGGTGAGTAAAATAAAAATGTTTAGGACTAACCTCAGCTCTTCTGGCAAGATGTTCTGCGCTGCGTTCAGTTGTTTCTGCAAGTCGCTCTAAGAACTCATTGGTCATATCGTCATCTGTAGTGTCGTTCACCCTGACAGCATTAGCCTCTTCGAGGAGCTGTTTCATCTCCTCAAGGGATGCTTCTCCCTCAGTAGAAAGCTTAGTGTCAGATTGCTTAAATGTATTTCTCAAGTTGTCTCGCTCACGAGATATTTCGCTGATCTGGAGCTGCCTAACTTCAAGCTGGCTGGTGAGAGTTCGGGCAGTGGCAGCCAGCACGGCACATTTCTCTCGTAGAGCAGTTTGCTCAACCGAATTAACCTCCGTTACTTCCTTCACCATTTCGAGTTTCTCCTTGTTAACAAGGCTCACTGGACGTAGTTAGCTACTGTAAGGAATGGTGCTACCAGGAGAGTTGGCTTACACTTCATGTTGGCATCGGAGAGCTCAAGCTTAGTAGCTTCAAGTAAACCTTCAAGTTCGACGATCTTTGTTCGCATGATGGTATAATCAACGTGCAAGCGCTGATGAGCGTCTTTGAGCTCGGCATCAGTCTGAAGGGAACACTGATAGAAATCTTCCTTCCATTTTCTTTCACCTGGAGCCTCAGGTTCGGTGTCATCGGGTGTCTCCTATACAAAAGTGTAAGCCATTAATCCATAAAATGAAGAACAACAACATATAAAAACGTACGGTAACGGCTTTGTCAACAATTGAGATATTTTCAAGCTTCCTCTTGAGCTCCTCGTTCTCAGCATTACTGGAAAGAGTTAGCTAATGTAAAACCGCATTCCACAAGCCAAAAGATAATGGGAGGGAAAGGTATTCAACTTACAGCTGAGCTTCCCGCTTTCCACTTTCTTCCAGATCACGCTCTAGACTGGAGCCGTGCGGTTTAGGAGTGGACGGTCTGGGGGAGGCTGGACTGCTATCAAGACCCTCTAGCTCTCGTATCCTCTCCTGTAGTCTGCCGATGGTATCTTCATCCCGGGTCCGCTGTTCCTCAGCTCCTAGCAGCCTCTCCGTTAGAGCATGATTGTCAAATTCCAGCTTCTTCTTTAGATCTTGAATCTCATGTCTGTCCTGCTCGACACGCGCAACCAGTCGTCTGTAGTTCTCAACCTCTGTCTCTCGAGCAGCGGAAACCCGCTGAAGTGTATCGCTTTCTTTCAGATGTTGCTGGAGGTCCTTGACCTTGTTCTTCAGAATCTGGTTTTCTTTCTCATAGTCCTGACTAGCCTGCAGCTTCTGTCTGTATTTTTCAGCGGCATTGGCTTTTCTAGCCAGCTGGTCTCGCTCAATCTTGATCTCGTCGTATTCGTCTTGCAGAGTCTGGTACTTTTGGTTTTTAACACGGAGAGTCTCGAGCGATATGCGCAAGCTGTCGATTTCGTCTTGGGCGGCCGTCAGTTTAGTTTCTTGTGCGGCTATTATATCTTGCGTCCGGTGTTCGTAGCCCTTGAAATTCGGTCCAATGTCGGCTTTGCCAGACTTTAGTCTTGCTAGACGGTCTTCCGTGATGTTTAGTTTATCCTGCAGCAGCTCGTTTGCTTCTCGAAGGCGTACATCCTTCCGGTGAAACTCTTCCAGGTCTTTCTCCAACTGTTTCTTCTCGTTTGATAGCTTATCGTTCTCGACCAGCAATTTCCCAACACGTTCCTCGAACTGCAGCTCTGGGTCCATGGCCAGGTCACGGCGTGCCTTGTATTCGTCCTGCTCATAATTTATCTGGTCCAGACGGTCCTGTGAGGGGTTTTGTGCTTCTTCTATTATACCCTTCAAGCCTTCCTGTGTTGCTGTTGAGAGCTGTACCATTCGCTCTATGTACGATTCGGCTCCAGGGGATCTGATGGCGGCCATGAGAAACAGCTTCAGCAGCCGGTTGGTCTCCTTTGTCGAGGCCGTCTCGGCAATCGACTTGAGGTCGGGGTCTGTCGAGAGACCGGCAGGTATCTCTCCATCATATCGGTTCCGTATATAGTTCAGCAGCAGCTTGTGCAAGTGTTTGAGATTCTGCCATCTCAGCACCCAGTGGTCTTCAGGCGAGCTCTCTGGAAGAACACCCAAGAACTCGTGGGGGTCTATGTCCTGTAGGATCTCCCAGAGTATCACTCCGTCGTATAAATCGTCTGAGGACTGGATGGAGGTGCCCAGGGGGAAGCTGTTGATCCATTCAAGGAGCGTTGCAGTTTCGGGTTCGTTTGGCATGGTCACTCGAGGCAAATGTGGCGTTTTGAAAAGGGAGGGAGCGTGGAAATCGGGTCGGCAAGAGATCGAGTATGATTATTCAACGGTATATGTGCCAGACAGCGGGCTCCATGCTGTCGATAATGCAGGGAGGAAGCGAGAAAAACTATCGGTGAACGTTGGAGACGCCCACTTCGGGGGGGAAAAAGCGACGGTCAATCAGAAGCCAAAGTCTAGCTGCAGCTAAACGTGTACCATGCCCTTAAGAACGAGACAGCCCACCAGCCGCCCTGGCCACTATTATTTAACTGCCGATCAATCGTTGAAATTGGGCGTGGTTACAGGGAACCGTAATAATAGATATAAACAGATATCTACTTACATATGGCGATATCTACAATATGATTGATTGCATTATCCTGGGTTTGTTGCGCGTTTATATAAAGAGCATTAACTTATGCAGTCCGGCCGCATAGAAAACGGGGTTTAGTTCCAATTTCAGTTTGGTGTCTTGGTTTAAATGAGACACAATAAAGCGAGTGTATTGATATCCCACAGATCAAACAGGAAAATTAAGGCTCTTTGCCCCTTTTGATGGTACTGACACCATGTGGTTGCAACAGGTAAAGGGGAAAGACAGAGTGAGAAATGGAACAAGAAACTGTCAGGAAACCAGAGATATTGCAAACAAGCGGAGTATTGTAGTAGTAGTATAGTAGTATGGCTGTACAAGGATGAAGGTGGGAGACAGAACGATCCGTCTAGACGTTGACCGAGACGACCTGGTCTTCCTCGATGGTCGCTGGGTACCTGGCGTCCATAGCCTTGACTTGGTCCATCACGGATTCAGGCATTTCGCCAGAGAATCCTCTGCGATTAAGATATCAAGGGTTAGTAGGGCAAATAACTTGTTATGGGGCGGAGACTGCTGTTCCTCAAAGCCGAGTGGATTCAAACGTACTTGATCAAGGCTGCAGAGACGACGCAGGTTAGCGAAAACGATGTTCCTCCACAGGCATCAAAGGGAAGGGAGAGAGGATCGATAGTCTATGACTTACAGTACTCGTGGGTGATCTTGCCGCCCTACATTACGAAAAAGAAATATAGTCAGTGGCTTGCATCTTAGGGAGCAGGACCGAAAACGGATGATATATTGATGTCAGGATCGGTTTCTTACAGCGGCGACGATGGCCTCCTTTGCCTTCTGGACAACGGAATCTGGAGCCTCATTGCCGAAGCTGACGATGACGGACTTCATGCTGGCTGCCATGATAGCGGGCGTGAGAGCAGCGAGAACGAGAGCGAGAGAGACTTTCATTTGAGAAGATAGACGGACAGCTGTATCACACTGGCTGGTTGTTCGCAGTCGAGACTGAGAGGTGGCTTGCAGAGCGGTCGATGGGCACGAGGGATGATGTGAATGGATGTCGGTCGGTCGTCGTTTGGTGTTTCGCGTACAGGGCAGTAATTTAATGTTTCGTTTCCCTTCCCACCTTGCTTGAATATATATAGGGTTTCCCTCCTGCCCAGCAAGAGTGAAGAATTATGTATCTGCCTAGGCTTGTCTTAGCTCGCCTTATATAAGAGCATTCCTTACGTATATTGGCGGGTGAGGCCCGGTGCTCCATGCCCCGTACCGTATGATTATTCTGCTTTCTACTCCGTATCTCAGCCAGGTATGATGATGATGCCCACCGCCAGACGTCTTTGGGCTGCTGCTGCTGCTGCTATTCTCCTTCCTTCTTCCCCTTCTGGCGCCTCCCTCTCGCTGCTTTAACTCATGCTCGCTCTGTCGCCCTTTGCTAGTTAACCGCGGGTCCTTGGCTTGGCGCTTCACGTCATGCTTGGCCTTGGCACAGAGAAGAAAAAAAAGGTTGCAGCGGGCGGACGAACCATCACGTGATTCGGGGATTTCCTCGCTGTTTTAAGCCCACTTACTTCCGCTTTTGACCGATGAATCATGTGACGTCACATGTCCTGGGGTATCTGACTAAGCTTGTGTTAGTCACGTGCTGGGTTTCCTTTCCCCAGCCTCGAAAAAGCGCAAAAAAAGAGCAACGACAAGAAAAGGACTACGCGGAAGAAGACGACGAGCGACGACGACGACGGCGTATATCAGGTCGATAGACACGGAGTAACACTCCTTCTATTGAGCCGGAGAGAAGCAGTGGATACGGAGTGCACAACAAGATCTGGGAGGACAGACGGGGGTTGTACACGCACTTCTTCTTGCTCCATCTTTCGGAGTTTTTTCTCCCTTTGTTTTCTGCGTCTCACCCTGCTTCAAGTTCATTAATCTCCTTTACTGCCTTGCTTGTTCATAACTTGCTCCTCTTTCAGATCGCATCAGCGCTTTACTTTCTCCTTTTGCTACCGCCGTTGACCGCACATATCCTCGCCATCGTTACCGACCGTCTCTCGTTCTATTTTCCCTCGACGAGCTTTCAGCGAACTCCCGCCTTCTTAGTGTGGTTTCCTTTTTGAGGTCACTCTGCTGCCGGGAAGCAAGTGACGGGCGCATACAAAACGCAAAAAAGAAGCAAAAAAAAGAAAGCCGAGGGTAGACAGAGCAGGGATTTAGGGCCGTATAAGTGTTGAAGTGGGCGGTTATATTGGCTCCCGATTTTAGGATATTGCGCTGGCATTACATGCTCGCCATCCGAGTTTTCTGCAAGGAATAGCTAGCAACCATTCTAATATTTTGTCCTGTGTCTCTACCTATCCTTTCTATCCGCTTGATTATAAGCTACAAAATTACAACTCAAGAAAAAAAAAAAAAAAGGCACAAAGAGCAGCTGAAGAAGGAAAACAAAATTTAACTGAGGCAAAAAAAACAAAAAGACCAACTTACCCGGCAAAGAGGAAAACGAGTCATAGTCGAAGGCTTACTTTGCAACATCTCACCCCTTGGGTTTCCTTACCTTTTCCTTTTCTCTTCTCCTCTCAGTGTTTGATACCCCGGAGTTGTTCCATTGGAAGAAGAACTTCAACCAACACTCCGCCCATCATGTCAGGCCTCGTTTCTGACGAAGTTGCGGAGGACTATAAGAACTCCCTGGAAGACCTCACAACGAATGACAAGTTCCAAATAAGCAATCTGACCGTTATTGCAAAGGAGAATACTGAACATGCCATGGCCATCTCCCGAGTGCTGGAGAATCACATAAGAAACGTAGGTACCAATTCTCTCTCCCGTCTCTGCTGCTTTCTCTTATCTCCCCCTTTGCTTTCCATTTTATCTGGGTTTCAGGCTGCATAAGTACTTTGCGCTGTTGGATAATGCTACTCGAGAATATGGGAAGACGGTGTAGAAAAAAAAAAAAAAAAAAAAAAAACCCGGAGCGAAGTTATATTCTAATTGATCTCTGTAGACACCACCATCTCAAAAGTTACCAGCTCTCTATGTAGTGGACTCAGTTGTGAAGAATGTAGGGACTCCTTACACGCTGTTCCTGGGACGCAACTTATATCAAACATTCATGAACGCCTATACTCTCGTTGATTCGCAGACTCGCAAGAAGTTAGACGAGATGCTCAAGACATGGAAAGAACCCGTTCCCGGTTCTTTGGATCCCAGGCCTGTCTTCCCAGCTGAGATTACTCGGAATATCGAGAATGCTCTGATCAAAGCTAGGACAGCAGCCCTTCAGCAACAACAGTCCAGAAGCCAGCAGGAAGCCATGAGCCTTGGTAGGGGTATAGGTACACCGCCGCCAATATGGAGAAATACCCCTACACCACCCCAGGGTGGCCCTAGATACCCTCCTGGATACGGTTATAATAACCAACAAATGCCGAGCAATGGTCATGGATATGTAAGTGGCTAGTCATAATACATGCAAAAATTCTAGGCACCAATTGCTAACTTACAGGCAGCCCAACCAACCACCATTCAACCAACCACCACAGGAACCAATCAACCTAGCCTCCTTACATCGTGACGTTGACTCGTTGATAATGAGTGTACGGCTCGAATTCACTGCTAACCCACTTAACACTGCAGTTCAGCAAAAGCTCAAGGCCCTTTTAGATCTACAGAACATTCTACAACAGCAACGGTTACCTGATGCACAGCTAAAACAGATCCGTGACCAGGTATCTCAGCTTTCTGCTTCCAGCGCAAAGCCAACACCACCGCCCCCTGCACCTGCTGCTTTGCCCGCTCATATCTCAAATCCCGCGGTCTCTACACCTCCTATAGTAACAATACCGGCTCAGGCACCGCAACCAAACCTCCAAGCTTTACTGAACCCAAACACTCTTGCAGAACTTATCAAGGCAACCGCACAAAAGCCTACTCCAACCCAGCAAACTCAACCATATACCCAACCGGCTGCTCCTACTCCATCACTTGCAGCAGCTGTACAACCGCCTGCATCCCTAGCCGAAAGTCCCTTGATAGCGTCATTGAGAGCTCGAGGCCTTCTACCTCCTGCTACAGCAACGCCTACAACCACACCACCTAATCTCCCCTTCATCATTCCAGGCCAACCACCTTATACTCCAGTGCCTGCCAACACAAATTCTCAAAGTGTCAAGATTAAAGTTCCAATGACCTCTGCTTCGATACGAATGTAAGTACCACTAGTATCTTTATCCCTAAAATTTACTCTGATTAACTGACATATTCCAAGACCTCGCCCAAATTTGATTTCCTGCTTATACGAAGATAAACCGAACCGCTGCGGAACTTGCGGTCGCCGATTTGTCTCAACCCAGGAAGGGAAGGACAAGAAGGCTAGACATCTAGACTGGCACTTCAAAACAAATCTACGGATAAACGAGGCTGCCAAGAGAAGCCAAAACAGGAGCTGGTATCTTGACGAGCGCGTAAGTTTATGCAGTCAGCTTGGTGTGTTCCACTCTCCAGCGTAACTAACATGCACTCCAGGACTGGATAAAATTCAGAGAATTTGAAGACGACATTGGTGCTGATGATGCGTCTGTCGCTGCCAGAAAATCCAATAGCGAAGATGCATTAGGTAAAAAGGCAGGGCAGCAAAAATGGATCCACGCTCCCAATGATGCCACGCTTCGCAATACTCCCTGCCCAATATGCCAGGAGAACTTTGAGTCCACTTGGTTTGAAGAAGCGCAAGATTGGATATGGAGAGATGCTATTAAAGTTGGAAATCGCATATATCACGCTAGTTGCTATGCAGAGGTCACAAAAGATGGCAGCACAGGTGCCAATGCCGATATATCGCGGGGCCGAACCAGCACGCCTGATTCCGTTCTCGGCAAACGAAAAGCAGAGGTGAGCATCTTCTCTTGATGTCTTGATATGTAGAATATACTGTAACGTTTACTAACTTCGTGTTCGATCTATAGGATTCGGATCTCTCTACATCCAGCGTCAGAATTAAAACCGAACCAGCGTCATGACACTTGCTCCGCGACTTTAGCAAATGAAAAGGAGTAGCAATTTTATTCCACTGTCTTTCTCCAGGCACCCATCATCGTGTCCTTGTCCTTTTCTGACCCCTGATTATCCCAATCTACATTCCCAATATTCATATATCCCATCTGCATTGTCATCTTCCCCTTAAATACTTGTTTCAGTCATGTTTACACACAGCGGGAAGTGCCTAAGTCTCCTTCAATTGCATGGCGAATAGACCTGCTTTTATTTCGCTGTAGTGCCTTCTCCCATACAAAGAACTTTTATACTAATATTAATGGGACAAAAATAGTATCTCTAGGTAGTAATAGGCATCACAGAAAAAGATAACTCCTATGCATTTAAGCTCTCTTTATCCTTATCTACTTTTATTAATCTATCCTGTGGGAGTAAAAATAAGCTAACTAGCAGCCACTGGAGGCTGTAACCTTAATCATCTCTAAAATTAAGCTAACCTCATATAAAAGTAGTAGAACTCTCGTATATACTACCTAGAGAGGTATACTAAACTTATAATTTTTAATTTATTGAGTAGAAGTAACAGAAAGGTATTGTTCAAAATAATTTAATTTGTATTTGTAGCAGTCACTTAAAACAAAGCCCTATGAACCTCCCATGTAAGAACACCGACCAAGCCGCAAACGACATTAAGAAAGTACCCGCGACACATTCAAATTTCAAAGGTTTCCCACCCCAGAAACGTACAAGGCACAGATATAACCACACAATTTTGGAATCAAAAACAAGGGGCTGTAGACATTTAGTACCAGGTAGACATCATATGAAGCGGTCAAGATCGAAAGAAGAATTCTCCTAAGAGCCAATGAAAGGCATGCTTTATTGAGGTCACTGGGATTTTTGAGTGTCAGTGGCAGGAACCTTTGCAGTGTTAGGGAAGTCAGGATCATTGACGTTGGCAGTTGCGGTATCAGGCTCGTCATCGACCACTGCCTCGGTTCCCTGGTGTGGAGGAGCTGGTTCCGTAACTGCCGCACCCGTCTTGGTGGCAGCACCTGTTGGCGGAGTTGGAACGTCAGGGGAACCCGAGTTTCCAGACCCATAGATGCTGCTATCCGTACGTGCATGGCCGATTACACCCTCTGGGTTGGTATGGATGTTGCGCTGTGAAGATATCATTAGTTTCTTGAGTTTGAGAAGTAGTTAAAGCTCACCACCAAGCGAAAAGCGCGGGATATTTATGTTAACTTACGCGAGATCTATTCTCATCAGCATACCTAGCTGCGGCGGTGATCAACTCCATGTCCAAGGAGTGCTGCATCGGCATGATAAGTGCTGGACGCGAGGCATTATTTGGATCCTCCGGGTGAATCGCTATAGTCAAAAGGAGCAGATAGTTAACCCTCGAGAGACATAATCAAGCAAAACGCGAAGTACACGTGTATTCTGACGTGCATATTGCTTTTCACGGCCTTCGACAAGGCAGAAATTGGCGTCAAATGGTTGTAGCACAAAGCAAAGGAGCATAGAGGCTTATCCTGGACAATCCACTGGAGGGGTTTAAATCGGTAGGACTTACGCTGCAAGTTCAGCAAGCTGATATCAACAGTAGTAGAAGGGCTAGAAAGCAGCTCTTGTCAGCCATACTATATATAAATATAAATAAATATATAGGGCGGATAAGGAGGAGCCGTGTCCCTTGAGCCAAATACTTACCAGGTTGGTCTCCCAATCTCGTACTTGTGTGGTTGAGCCTGCTCTCCATGAGAACGGAGGCAAGAGCAGGAGAGTACACACCCCATTGCGATTCTCGAAGTGATATGAATGTGAAAGACCTAAAGAAAACGAGAGGCAGTCAAAGGCTTTGACCAGGAAGAAATTGAAATTTGCAGTGGATGTGCTATGGTGATGAACAAGAGGGGGAAGGTGAAGTTGATATTGATATGTCTAGCTGCTTAGTCGGCGACCAGATATACAGTGTATAACTGAGGCCATGAAGAAAAGATGCGATAGTATAACATGCAAGGGGAAAAAAAGATAGTAGACCAGAAGACTCCACTGAAGTTGCATTAAAAAGAACACTGCATGGTGCTTCTGGACAGGAACTTCCCGTTATGGGGAGCAAGGAAAACAAAGGGCGCAGATAGTGGGAGAGAGAGAAGATACAATGCATTTATATGAATGTATTGCTCATAAAAAAGAAGCAATAGAACAGATGCATTGTATTTCTAACAAGTAACATACAGTATACAAGAGCACCAGATCCCGCAGGTCTATACACGTTCAGGAGTTCCTAACCACCAAAGCAACAAAAAGCCTCAAAATAGGGGAATAAATGGTATCCCATGTATAGAGTCGTAGACACGTATTCCTGACAACCGAGGAGGCGAATGCGAAACAAAAAATAGGTAGGGGGCCGTGGTTTTGTATGGGGCTTCTCAGAAGAATTACTTGGACAACCCGATCTTGCTAAGGATTGGAGATTGCTTCTGCTCAAAGACTCCGAGAATGCTCTTCCAGACCTGGCCAGGCTCCTGGCTAGCATCAATTCCGCTCCAGATACCGGTCTTCTTGTAGTATCCAACAACGGGCGCGGTTTGAGCATGGTAAGTGGCCAGGCGCTTCTTCAATGCCTCGGCATTGTCATCAGAGCGCTGGACAAGCGGCTCCCCAGTGATGTCGTCGGTCATCTCCTTCTTCGGTGGGTTGAAGATTTTGTGGTAAGATCTTCCGGAGCCCGGGTGGATCAGTCGGCCCGTTATCCGAGAAACAAGAAGACTATCATCAATCTGGAGTTCGACGGCATGCTGCAGCGCCTGCTTGCGTTCGCGAAGCATGTCATCCAGTCGTTCAGCTTGAGCAACTGTACGAGGGAATCCATCAAGGATGAAACTGTGAAGAGGCAAGGGGGAAAAAGTGTTGTGTCAGTAAGCTTGGACCATGGTCCCAACAAATGGTGGTAAAACGTACCCCTTCTTACACTCCTTGTTCGACTCCAACTCGTTCTTGATCATGCCGACCATAATCTCATCGGAGACAAGTCCACCTTGGTCCATGATCTTCTTTGCAGCCTTGCCGAGCTCAGTTTGGCGGGAGACTTGTGATCGGAGCATGTCACCGGTAGACTTGTACGTAGTTGTTAGAGCGACAATGGACGATACTAGGGTATAAACAAGTCGGTTGGCAAAAATAGACATACCAAATGGCACACGCAGTATTTCTCCTTGATCTTGGGCGCCTGGGTTCCCTTGCCTACGAGCCACGGTGGTCAGTTGAACATTTCGGCAAAGACGGACGTGTATTCAAGACGCTACATACCGGCTCCAGGAGGGCCCATCAGGATCATCCGCATCGACTCAGCAGCCGAATTGGAGTCTGAATGACCGCCATTGAGCAATGCCTTCTCCAATCCAACTATCCGGGACTCCAGGCTGTTGATGAGGTCCTTCAGGGCATCGATCGATTCGCCGTTAGCTGGGGCCATTGTGAGCCGAGGACGAAGGTGGTGGTCAAAGAATAAGAACAATCCTTTGGAATCGGGAACCGGACGAGAGCGCGTTCAGCCTGGGATGGCAATTGGCAAGCAGATGAAGCGCGGAGAGGTTGAGGAGAGGAAAGAAAGAGAGCGTTCAGCAGATCCGAAGAAGAGAAACGAAGAACGTCGGCGAGGACTAACCTGATGCTTGCTTTTTCTTGCCGCTCTTGGTTGGTTTCAACCTGCAGCGCGAAGAGCTTAAAGCCGGCACACGGCAAAGATGACTCAGCAGTCACGGGCTAGAGCTCCATCACGTGAATATTAGTTATCAAAGCTTAGTCAATTATTAGTAATTGATGTGCTTACTCAGCATGCCGCTCTGTTCCCAAAAGCTTGCGCTTAAGCTCTGGGACAGCTTCAAGCCAACACGGCGGACGGACAGACAGACAGACAAACAGACAGAAAACAAGCAGACGAAGACGAGGAGCTGCAGATATTTACCACTGTTGGCTGCTGGTCTCCATACCTTTTTCTCGTTGCGTCTTCTATCTCCTCCCTCCGTCTTTCTTGTGACCTCGTTCTGTCCGTTTCATCATGCCTGCTACTACCACCGATACCCTCTCCCTCGTCACCACAACTGTTACCGTTGCTCCCTTAGTTCTTCTCTCGGCAGCAGACCACTATGGACGGTCAGCAAAGGGGACTAGAAAGCGAGTTGTTGGTGTATTGCTCGGCCAGAATGATGGGAAAACGGTCCGCGTGTCCAACAGTTTTGCTGGTAAGTGCTGTGAATGCGCGGAGTTATTATTATACATCGAAGCAGCGGAGCCCCGTATTCCAGCCCTACTGACAATTCATTTTACAATATAGTGCCTTTCGAAGAAGATGACAAGGACCCTTCAGTCTGGTTTTTAGACCATAACTTCGTCGAGTCGATGAATGATATGTTCAAGAAGATTAACGCCCGCGAGAAACTGATTGGATGGTATCACTCCGGCCCGAAGCTGAGAGCGTCGGATCTAGAGATCAACGAGCTGTTTAAACGATACAACCCAAACCCTCTACTTGTCATTATTGACGTGCAGCCGAAGGAAGTCGGCGTGCCTACCGATGCATACTTTGCTGTTGAAGAGATCAAAGATGTGAGATCCAGCGTTCCCCCATGGCTCGATTGTCCCGAGAACTCACAAGCTAACATCTAACATGTAGGACGGAACAACAACGTCCAAGACTTTCGTTCATACCCCTTCAATAATAGAGGCTGAAGAGGCAGAGGAAATAGGTGTAGAGCATCTTCTAAGAGACATTAGAGATGTTGCAGTTGGCACCCTTTCCACCAGAATAACGTCACAACTTCAGTCCCTACAAGGCCTTCATCTTAGGCTTCGGGATATTGGCCAGTATCTTGAGAAGGTACTAGACAGAGACCTCCCGGTCAACCACGCCATCCTCGGTCATCTCCAAGATGTGTTCAACCTCCTGCCAAACCTCGCTACAGCCAAACCAGGAACTTCCTCCGGTGCCATTGGTGCCGAACAACAAATCGAGAACACTGAGCTTGCCCGTGCCATGAACATCAAAACAAACGATCAGCTTATGTCCATCTACATCAGCAGTTTGATCCGAGCCATAACCGCGTTCCACGACTTGATAGAAAATAAGATCCAGAACCGTCAGCAGCAGGAGGAGAGAGAGGCAAAGAAGGAAGAGGGAAAGGAAGAGAAGGCCGGTGCCAATTCAAATACTGAGAATAAGAAATCGGGCTCCGCTTCATGGATGGATACCAAGGACGAGCCAAGTTCGAATGAGAAGGGGAAGAAGAAATGATGAATTACATGAATACATTTGAAGCCGCCATTTTTCGCTCCTTGTGGTCTTCTTCGCTCCTTCTCAGAGCATAATTGGAACTAGCCAGCGATATTCCAAATATTGCATGTATCTTTCCCCCAATAGAGCTTCTGTGGAATGGGTCGACGCACTGGATCAGAAATATAATGACATCGAATTAACGTTGCTTCCTTAAACCTCTAATTCAAACACCGGAGCCATGCTATATACTTCTGTAAAATATCCCTTATGGTTGACACCTTTCTTCCTCATGCCGCAAGCTTTCCCGCAAACTCCCGAGAATCTATCTCACATCTCCGTACTTTGCTACCAAATACACCTGGACACTGGGATACAAGCGCACACGCCAGTAAATGCTTGCAAATGGATGGTGAATCGTGCATGAAGCAACAGCCCGAAGGAGAAGACCTACAGGGTGTGCTTTGAGTCAGACACCCACCAAACACCCAGTTTTTGCTCTTCGTAGTGGTATCAACCGGCTCATTCCTCACCAGTAATTCAATATGGGCCTCTGTTTGGTGCAGCGTTTCATCCATCTCCGGATCAAGATCCCGAAAGGTGGCCAGCGTAAACGCAGGACATGTACAGTTCCATGCATCAAGACAGACCTGATATTCGCTCTCTTGTTGCTCACGGTGATTGTCTTCCTCTACTCCAGGTCTCCTCTTCGCAGCTGTAGACAAGACGAAATATATCTCGCTATCAAAACATTCACCCTCGTAGTCATCTTCTCCGTTGATATCGCGCCTCTGCTGCCGCTGTGTCCCCGGGTCATCTCCACAGTATACCTCTACCTCTCCTCCATCTTCCCCGTACTCTGGACGGGATGTGGCCTCTCCCGCGGGCCCACTGTTCCGGGGCTTAATAGTGTATCTAGTGATCAGATCTCGGTCGAGGATATCAAGAGCTGGAAGCAGCTCATTTGGGAACAGGCAGTGCAATGTCAGCACCAACGGCTTCACCTTTGCTAGAACATCTGCCGGTAGCTGCGATAATGGGTTTCTCGATGTGTCTCCTTCATCATCATCCACGTCTGGTATTATAGAGACTCCTTCTAGAGACTCCAGGACTCGGCTACAGGCGGCGAGCTGCCCTATAAGGCCTGTGATAAAGACTGACGAACAGGGGAGCGAGCTCTCCGGGCTTCCAGAGTGAAGGGCTGACATTGAACTACTGGCTTCACCGAGCATCCCTTCTCCCGGGAGGCGTTAATTAAAACCCGTGCAGCTGGGAGAACGGGTGGTTAAATGGGATTTTGAGTCTGGGAGAGCTGGAGCCAGGGACGAAACGTAGCCCCTTGCCTGCTCGAGTGGTCGATCCAGTGGAAAGAGAGGGTTCAGAACTTATACGAACTTTGCCAGCATTAGCTATGCAGCATCCGTGTAGCAGCAGCGACTGTGTCCAAGATATGTTCCTTGCAACAGTTTAGTTTATGCATGTCTGTGGCCATAACCGTAACTAGTGAGTTAATTTTATATCTGATGCTTGATTTTAGCCAAATAACTACATGCAAAGGCCCCTCACATGCCTATAACAACCAAGATCAACTCTATAAAAATAGCTAGGCCGAATCCTCCAGAGACCCAACATCTTTGCAAAGTTGCAACACAGACCTCCAACCCCCATACTCACCCTATAACACGCCAGAAATAGCTTGATGGGCAAGGAGAAGCGTTGCCCTAGCGTTGATTTGATCCTCATTCCCGTGTTCCCCAAGCTTCACACTCCCAGTACTTATCCGCCTGGGATACGTCCTCTCCTTGTGCTCGGCCTTGGGACGAGTTGACCGGTTACCTTTGGGTTTGCCCCGTTCTTCGTTGCCGAAGGCACTGCTTCTTCTCCCCATTATCATCCATTAGTGGCGAAGGTGTGAGATTCGCACTATCCTCCTGCGTTGCGCCAGCTTCTTTCCAGTCGTCAGGCCTGGGCCGCTTTTGCCCACTTTCAAACAGACCCTGAACAGCTCCTCTGAAGACCCTTCCACCCATGGTGATTTCGATGTCGACCTTTGCTGGCTGGACCTCCCACCGAAAAATCGAGTCAGGGCTGCTAGTATTTAAGTTACGTGAAATTTCGATCAAGTCGGTCGAGCCGTCACCTACTTCTACGGTAGCTTCTTCACCCTGCTGAGTCTGGGGTTGCCCAGGGGTACTAATACGTTTTGAAACCCCACGTTCATTCGAAGGCGTCTCACTCGCGTTGGCTTGTAGGGAGCGCTCAATTCTTCCAGCGATCGAATAATTCCCTGCAGTGGTAGGGTCGTCATTGATTGCCCCATGTGATCCTCTAAAAAGGGGTAGCCTGTTATATATCAGGACATACGGAACGTTGTTATCATCCTGGTACCCAAGGATAACGTTAATGTCAGCTTCACAGGAAAAGTCGTCATTCAGACACGTCCAGTTGCCTCTTGGTCCTTTGACATATGACATATAATGGCCCTCCTTTATTGTGGCACCGCGGTGCACGATAACTGAAGTGAGTTGATAGCGAAGGGTCTCTCCGACTGATCTCGCCTGTGGGAGCAGTCTTTCCGTGAGATCTAGGTCCTCGGCGAATTGAACCTCAGCCGTCACTTTAGAAGACTCCCCGCTCTCCGACACCTTGAACCTAGTAATCTGGATAACCAGCACCTCGGGGGCATCCTTGATAAACATTTCCCGATGAAGAGTCGAGTTGCAATCACAGTTGGCACAATGATACCCAACAATTTCTTCTGGCTTCATATACTCCTGAATGCAGTCCTCGAGTGATCCCAGTCTCTGCTCCGGTGGAGATGCACCCAGCACCCATGAATGGTCATTTTCGGAACACTTGGTGTGCTGACAGGTTTGGCAAGTGCTCTGGTATTTGAAGACATTTTGGAATATATGCTGTATATCTCCCGTACAAGTAGAGTTGTCGATCTGGGAGATCAACCTGGTCAGGAACTCAATACAATCCTGTTGGTCCGTGGAATGGGTGTCCCAGAATTGGCTACACTCCTCCCATAATCGAGAAAGGTTTACTTCCAGCTTTATGGAAGGGTTTGGTGTCCAATATTCATCAACCAGACGTCCCAGTAAGCAGACAAAACACTGCTCACGATCCTCGGAACGACCTGACCCATGGTTCAGCAAGTGGAGCATCAACCAATTAACAAAGAGGGGCTGATGTAGTAA